ACCAGTAAAGGAACACAGTTGAAAGAATATTATCTGGCCTATAACTGTAGTTGTCATGGTGCTTGTTTTACATGCTCAAATCAAACAAGGGCAAATATATTTATTATGCCTTTTTATTTGTTTTTACTTTTTTTGTATTCATTAATGTTATATTTATATATTTGTTTTAATGTATTTTATTTTACGAAAATACTAAAGTTTATATAATAAGTTATAATTCAAATGAATTCAGCAATTCAAAGAATATTTTTAACCTCTGTGGCACTCTCAGTTGCGCTGGCAGTGCCGGGGCTGTCGATTTCGTCTCTGATGCCAAACGAGTACCTCAACAGCTTATTACCACAAATATATGAATGGAGATTTTCACAAAGTGGCTAAATCAAAAGCTAATCCCAAATCTTCCAGGACATAATGTCGTGGTAATAGACAACGCGCATTATTACAACATTTGCAATGACAAGCTTCAAACGAAATCAAGTACAAAAAGTGTGATGACGTCCTTGTTACAGCGCCAAAACATACGCATTAACCAAACATGCTCAGGACTCACGTGTTAGCAAAAAATAGATGATTTTCGTTGCAAGTCATTGTGTCATGTGTAGCACAAAATCTCAATTGAATTTTATTTACATGAGATGTGTAATTAATATGTATGACACAAACACGACATTGTCATTGACACAAAGACGAAGAATCCATGCTATGAAAACTGTAATGTATTTACAAAACAAATACAACTGCTGCGATATGAACCCGTACCAGCGCGAAACCACTTCATTACAACGTTTTATTGTTTTACTATCCATACACGCATGACTTATCTTTTCTGAAGTGCACTGATCCATGTTATATTGACAGCGGTTACGAAATTATAAATCAACTTCAACAATTTTCATCCTTTTTACGATAACCAGATGTTTGTTATTTTAAACAGAGTAAGCACTAAGCTCTGTAAGCTTATGATATAATATGCACACATAAATACATGTAACATTTACTTGTTATTTAATAACTGGCCCGAGCTTTTTATAAATTAAAGTGACACAATGCGACTGAAGGTTTACTTCTTGAAATACAATCAAAATAGATGCAGTGCTTTATGCAAGGTTTTATATATTAATTATCTATAATAATTATATTTTTGAAACTCCAATAAATATCCTAACGGGTTGTGCTAACACAATTCGTGAAATGCCTAAGACACAGAATTGTCATCTATCTCAGCTTGAACATACCTGGCATACTTCATTCCCTACTCTACTTTAATATGTTTACTCATGACGTACCAAATGATTTCAATTATCATCAATTACAGATGACGTCAGGTGTTATTTACGTGGACATCTAAAACAATTTACTTCCAGTCATGTGCCCTTAGAATTACATTACAAAAAATATTATTATTGCTAGAGTGTAAATAAGGTGTTTATTAGTTACTTAATACCGGTTTAGTTGTCTGAATGAGAAACACTGGTCCGCTACTGCTGCTCACGTACTTGATTTCGTGAATCTAATTGCATTTCTAATCCTACTACGCACATATTATAACCCCAGATGAAATTAATGTTTATATTCATTGAAAAAACAAATACAATAACACAATAACAACAGACAATTAATTTACATGTTTATTTTATAAATTCAATCAAAAGCAATATCAAACTCTAAACATTATCTGTAAAAGTACAAGAAGAGTGTATTCTATATGAATATGTGAAAATTAATCACAATAAAGCAAACAAAGTATCTAATGATCATGATAAATAATAACATCAAGCAGAATGATTGTCATAAGAGACAATGCTTGTCAAACTAGGCTTAACTTTGTTTCCAGATTTTTATACTTTACAACAGCAGGTGTCAAGTGCTGTGTGGCAGCTTTAAAATGTTGCCCCGTACTTCACTTCAGTGTTGGTCTAATTTTCTGGTCCTTCGGGATCATTGATGCCAGCACTATTAAGTGTTAAAATTGAGTTACGCACACGCCGGTGCCAGGGGGTGTGAGGGATGCTGAACGTATTCATTATCCCTCATGTACACTCTCAATCAAACCAAGTCTACAAGTCTCTTGTAATTTTCTTGTGATTTATGCATCCGAGGGATCACTTTGTTTCCAGATTTTTAAGATATACAAAATCAATCTTAAACAAAGATATTTTGTTAGATTTTGGCAATTACACGCCCGTTTAACTCACAACGAGTGAAAAATGTCCATCGGTTAAAATGTTGTGAGCAACTTCCGTTCCTCGTTGTGAGCACCCATCTTTGACGTGTGACACGATAAACAAGATGACTTTTTCATAATTTTTGAAGATTGCAGACATTTATGTAAAAATATCGAAATGCAGTTAGCTAGCTATGTGTTTTCCGAGTATGCACATGTAAAGATATTGTCTGTTGGTGGACAATTTGATGGAAATACCGTGCGACGCAGTCACTCGGGGTAGGTGGAAAACTGGAGACAACTTCTCTTTGGACCTAATTCAACATTGAAAACGTCGATTCTGGTGACGTTTTGTGCATTCTTACCTAAAACAGATGCCCACAAGTCATCAGCGTAAATTATTATCTGAAAGTCTTTATAGAAACCAAGATATATCCTTTTACTTTAATCCTCGTTGTGAGCACCATAACCTCGTTGTGAGCAAGACAAGCGCAGTGCGTGTATGGTTTAAATATGTTATTCAGATGGTGAAAATATAATTTTCAATATACCACAGCAATTAAAACGTTTTTGCACAGCAGCATTTCTTTGCACTTGACGTTGTGCATACCCCAAAGGGAGGCATATTAGTTTTGAACTGTTCGTCTGTCAGTACGAGCAAATATATGATATTTATGAGCTTCATTCCGTAGTTAAATAAAGACCAAAAACTCATAAAATTCAAATTAAGAGCTATTTTTTGAGCTAATTTTGCTAATGGACGTTAGTCCAGGTGGTGTTTATGAGCTGATTTGCCTCATAAATATCATAAGATGTTACGTCCGTCAATCTGTCCGAAAATTTTACATTGGCCTTAACTTCCTTATTAGAAAACGGATTTGATTCATATTTGAACACAACATCCCTTAGCACCTTCCCACGGACCTGTTTTTGTTTACCTTAACCCCTGAATGGCCTTTACCTCGAAGTTCAAATTGTCCAAAAACCTTTAAGATTGGCCATAATGTCCTGGCATAATGTTTAGGCACAACACATCTTTGGACAAGGCCTTTCAACTATCCTATTTTATTTGAACTTGACCCCTGAATGACCTTCACCTTGAAGGTCAAATTGTCCAAATACTTAAAAATTGGTCAAAACTTCATTATTAGTAAACGGATTCTACTCATATTTTGAAACAACGCCCCTTTAGGCAAGATCTCCAAACTGATCTGTATTTTTTTATCTTGTACCGTGAATGACCTTCTAGAACATCCAAAAACTTTAAGATTGGTCATCACTTCTTTATAAGTAAGTTGATTTAATTCATATTTGGACACAATGCCCCTTTGGACAAGACCTTCCAACTGACCTATATGTATTTCACCTTGACATTGAATTACCTTCACATTGAAGATCTAATTGTCCAAAAACAAATAATCTATCTGGTCCTTAAATCTAAGGACAAAGCACCACTTCAGGGGCATTGTCAACTTACCGTGATAGTTCTTGTTTTACATAACTTGGTCAGTCTTCAGCTCAGGATAAACATATGTATGTGTGTATCACACAGACTGTGAAATTGTTGAAATATTCATAAACTCCCGTGATGTTCACTCGAGCCAAACCAGAGTATATGAAATAAAATACCTGATTTACCTACACTGATTAGTTCTTCTGGTAATCTGATGACTTATGAATATGAAGAATAATTTTCAAAAAAAAATTTTAAAAAGAAAAAGAAGAACTATTGCAAAGAAAAACTTTTGTACAAAAACGTTTTGATTGCTTTTGGTAGATTGAAAATTGTATTCTTGCCATTTGAATTACATATTAAAACCAGACAAGCACTGCGCTTGTCTTGCTCACAACGAGGTTATGGTGCTCACAACGAGGATTAAAGCAAAATAGAGTATATCTTCGTTTCTACGAAGACTTTCAGATAATAATTTAACACTGAAGACTTGTGGGCCTCTGTTTTAGGTAAGAATGCACAAAACGTCACCAGAATCGACGTTTTCAATGTTAAATTAGGTCCAAAGAGAAGTTGTCTCCAGTTTTCCACCTACCCCGAGTGACTGCGTCGCACGGTATTTCCATCAAATTGTCCACCAACAGACAATATCTTTACATGTGCATACTCGGAAAACACATAGCTAGCTAACTGCATTCCGATATTTCTACATAAATGTCTGTAATCTTCAAAAATTATGAAAAAGTCACCTTGTTTATCGTGTCACACGTCAAAGATGGGTGCTCACAACGAGGAACGGAAGTTGCTCACAACATTTTAACCGATGGACATTTTTCACTCGTTGTGAGTTAAACGGGCGTGAATTATACTTGCACCATGTTAACCTGGCAATATAGTTCATACATGTACATTCGTGTCACAGAGTACAAAATCATGAAATTAATCACTGAAAAGTTCGAAAATGAACTCGGTTAAAATTAGTATAAAAACTATAAATTTCAAAAGAAGAATTATTATTCAAATTTATTTCTTGCTGTCTCGGAATACATTGTTTGATCATTAACATGGTAAATGTTTTTCCAGCATTAGAATCACAACTTTACACTGTTTGAGTAGTTTGAACTAAGATTCTCAAAATAATATATTGTTGACATCTATGAAAAAGGAAACATTATTATAATTTTCATCTCAGCAAATTGTCTTTCGCCTATCACCACAACTAAATCACTTTCAATATTTAGCAAGCGTTTTGGGATAACAGTAGCAGCATTATAATTTCGATATTTTGAATCACATCACGCGGATTTTCTTAGAATAAAATCTACACCTATAGCCGAGGTATGCCTTGATTCTCGACTTCTTTAAATTTTCTTCCTGCAGATACTATGGTATTTCACACAGAAATGGATATTTACTTCTACAGGATAAGTTAAACCATTTGAGGTTTTCTAATGCAAGGCACAATCTTGAACTCTCTGATCTTGGATAGCCGGAAAACCATTTAAAGTATCCGCTATTTGTTCCATATTTATATTCCCAAGGTGACGTAGAACTTTTTCGATGGCCTCCAATGTTAATATCAATTACAGAAAAGCCGCTCAATATGGTCTTAACATCTGAATACTTCAGGTCTGAGTTGATGTTAATCAAATGTCCTCCGTCTTCATTGCATTCAGCTTCTGCATCATCGTGATGTTTTCGTGTTACTTGTAGCTTTATACAAAATCCATTGGTAGTCAAATTGTAGGTATTCGGACACATCGTTTTGTTTGTAACACCCTCACATAAGCCGAGGTCTGTCTCCACCTCTGATATTTTGCCATTTTCACTTGTTTCACGAATACACTCTCTACTTCGATTTCGAATTCCAAAATGATTTGAAATTTTTACGCCACATTCAGCCCATTGTGTCCATCCAGAGCATTGATGAAGATTATTCATCGCCATTCCTATGAAAGTAAGCATGGGCTTGTTTAAGCGTCTACCCATCTGTATCAACGTTTCGCTACTTATACTTTCTCCATCAATACCCGATGTTTCATCGTTTGCGTCACATTGTATTATTTTATTCATCAAAATAAGCACAAAGACCAAGCTCGTTAGAAAGTTGTCTGTAAAACAAAACCACATTTTGTATTGTTTCAATATTTCTATGCTTAAAACGTTAAAGATCAAAGTCTGTCGTTTAAATGCAGTTTCAACGTCTCAAGTCAATATATTCCATGCATGTAAAAGAAAAATCCCTTGAACAAGATTAAATACATTTTCAATGTGGAGGATTCATAAAGTGTTGGATTTGTATTGGTGTCATTCGGTATTTGCACAGCTGAAACCTCATGCAAATCTTCAAATAGAGATGTTTATTACTAACCATGTATTACTGACCTATACAATAGAAGACACTTAACACTCATCGATGAGTTTCATAACAATTTAATAAAAATATACCATTTATTTACTTTTTTCGTTTTTCTCTATTAACTTAACAAAACATTTTGATATGATTTTTAAACTTAAACTGTATGTTATTGACAATTGTTGATTTAAACTCCTAGAAACCTAATCTTTTTAAAACTGATACATGTATTACACCTTATACTCATTTTATTTATGTTGTACTACATAATACTTCTTAATATTATTTCATTCCTTCAACTTTTCATGTATATGTGCAAGGAACAGAATAATTAATTATAAAATGTTGTTTTTGTTTATTGTCTCTTCCGAGTCGTTATTTTTCGTATTTGAATGCTTGGTACATTTTCAAAAAATTCTAAAATTATTTTTAAACTTTATCTGAATATAACAAATTGAATTATATTTTTAAGCTTTCTTTTAATTAATTTCTATATAAAACACTTTTATCATTTAAAAAAGTACACGTGTAAAATAGAGAAAATAAAAATCCTATGAATATCCAACACGACAAAATTGAAAATGTTGCAGGCTCAGTTTGATTGAGCCTGTTCAGGGACGGTACTGTCTAGTGCAAACTACCGTCCATGCCCCCTAGCACCGGCTTAAGCAGAATTCAACATTTAAACATGAAATGCTAAAATTTTGAATTAAGAAACAGCCGAAGGTGTGTTCATACGGCGGTAAACTGGAACCGTCAATTGATACTCCTGTGCCATTCCATGAAAAGCGGTGTATGGTCCCCAAGTACTAGAAAGCGTTAGTCTAAACGAGAAAACAATGGGGGGGAGGGGGGGAACTAAAGAAAATGGAATTTTGAGAGGGGATCTAGGTCATGAAGCTTGCATATCACAGATAAGACGTCAAAGACAAAGTTAAAAAGCAGGCAACAATCCTATGGGTGATTCAACATTATTCAAGTAGAAATATTGAAACCACACAACTATAAATTCCAAATAGTTAAAACTAAAATGTACCACAAGCATAACAATAATGTCGTTCCGAACGATTTTAAAGACTTTTTTGTCTTCTTTTGATTTTGTTATATGGAACATATATTGCAATATCAGACCAATAGCTTTTCTGCAATTTGTTGATCAACCCTCAGTTTTGTAGTATATCCTGTTTACTTGAATATTTCTGAAAACTAGCATATGCTTCTAATTAGATGTTTGAAACGAGAATGAAGTACAGTGAAAAGGAAGTTTTATCTGGTATTAATAACTCGTATAATTGCTTTTACTGGGAATTCTGATATTTTCCCATGGAAAATTGCAAACGCTAAGACATGTAGTGTCTATTTACATTATGCAAGGAGGCATACAAACTTCGTTTTTAAAAGTATTTCCAATTGTTTTTAATATACCCACTAAAATAAACATCAATCTGAGTTGTACTGTGATGTATTAAACAGTTTATTTCTTTAAAGAAATTGCCACAAATACTTAATGTCCATTAATAGTTTTATTAAGCTCTGAGACAAAAACTAAAACAACAGTAATAACAACAAAAGATTAAAATAATAAAAAACAAACGACACAAAGAACGAAACAAAACAGGTTAAAATCATTATAAAGTTCTTAATCCTAGTATACTTTTCCAATGAAAACAGTTATTACCTCCTTTTTTAAATTAACATAACAACTAAAATAAAAAGAATAACGCTTAGTCGTTGCATGTAGATAAACCATCTAAACGGCATTTTGCTTTCCTAAGGGAGGTAACTTTGCACATGTCTTTCATTACATTACCATACAAATTACTTACCTTGTTTATCCAAATATTTTGACAGGTTTGTATCGATACATCAATCATTTGAGTCGATGTCAGACACATATTGATCACGTGATATTGTTATGTTTGCATGATGTATTTACTTTACAATTATGAAAAAAATGTCTTTAATCCCTTTAACTTACCATGTGTTTGTTATCTAAATTACCATACTAGACTGTGTAACCTGATAATATAATACGCACACGTAAATCCATGTAACAGTTACTTGTAATTTAACAACTTGCTCGAGCTTTTTAATTAAAGTGACATAATGCTCATCCAGCGGTATACAGTGACAATCGCAACTTTTCGGCCCTTTCCGTCAGTCTTCACATTAGCCATAATCTCTAGAAATCTCATAGCCTCTACTTCCGAAGTTTGCCATTTTCTTATGATTCAAAAAAGCCCTGCTACGATGTATTATTCTTTTTTTTTCATGCCAAATCTAGTACATTGATATGAGCCCATACAAAACATGTGATTTTTATTGCCATTCCAATTAAAGTAAGCAGAGGTTTGTCCCATTTGTATTAACATTTTGTCACTTAAACATTCCCCAAGGATATCCGAAGTCGCATGCCTGTATCACAACCTACTTTTTATTAATTAAAAGAAGTATCAAAGTCAAGCTCACTTAAAGTATGTTTCCATTATGTACCCATATTTTATATTGTCTTTTACCTTTATAGCTAAAAAATTAATACAATACAATTTTACTACTGTTTAAATATTTACACACGTAAATGGTTCTTCTGAACCCCGATATTCTACAAATTGACTATATTTTATAGCCTGTCGGTGAAGGGAATATTGAAATGACGATGTCCGTCTATGTCTGAAGCCATACACGGTTTGTGCATTTTTCCCTGTATTTTGGATAGGGAGGAAAACACCACATGGTTTCATAAAAGTCCACAAGGTGATGCTTTGCAAATACTATTAAAGGGACTTTTTGAAACGCTTTTCACTAATATCGGGCTAGGAATTGCACACAATAGAATTTATTTTCAATTTAAGTCTACGCATGAAATTTCTTTATTATCATTTGCAGATATATCCATATTAAGTGCTTCACTTGATCAAAAATGAATTTCAAATTTTATGATTTTAGTCTCATTGACCCCATCAACTTAACATTCTGAACTTGCATTTCTGGGTTATGTCCCTTTTATAAATTTAAAATAAGCATTTTCAAAAATGAAAAACCTCACTTTATGCAAATGTTATATGTTTTATAGTTATGCAGTTAAGTATGAATGTATTTTGTAATAATAAAACGATGTTCATCAAATTGTTAAGGACAATTTCAGCAATTGTTTTAAATATAGCCCTTTATGAAATAAAATTAGTCATTTATGAAGCAAATATCTCTGTCGAGAGCCACATTTTAAGTATATGAGACTACAACAAAGTAACTTAGCCTTTTATAAGGATTACAATTTGTTATACACAATTAAGTATTTGTTTTTAAAAAACAGTGCTCTCTCGGTTTTTATAATCAAATAGAACTGATTCTAATTTTGTTATCTTAATATAGACTCTGATGTTTTTAGAAATTTTATTTCTATTTGATTAATGCATGTATGACTCACAGCTAGCTGTGGCAAATAAAGCAGAGTTAATATCTACATTACAATTGTTATTACAGAAAAATAGTAATTTGCTTGACACTTGGCCATGTATGATTACAAATAAAGATATCAAATTATTCCTATTCTAATGAACCCGATGCTTAGAAGTTGCTATCAAGTGAAATCAAGTGACTATTACGTAAGTGAATTCAACAAATTAAAATAGTTTGAGTCTTTTTAGGAGAGTTTATAAAATATAAATTTAAGTGTTTATACATATATCGTATGGAATTTTGGTGTTCACAAGTTGAAATATATTTCTATCTTACACTAAACTAAACAAATTTTCTTTTTATCATATGCAAAGAAACGTTTTAAAAAGACATTAAACCTAATACTGAATGAAAAGCGCGCCAAATAATAATACAACGTGACGTCATTTACGACGTCACGTCATTAAGTTGGTACCAAGTTCTGTGCACGCTGGTATTTCACTGAAACAACGTAAGGGGCTTAAATTCAAAAACAGTGAAATTATCAAAGTGGTAATTTCACTGTTTCAAACAGTGAAATTACCAGTTTTTATATCACTGATAAATTTCAATAAACCACCGAAAAGCATGTAATAAAGCCATATAGTATACATAAAGTACACGTTCAAAAACAAGAATATACTAAAAGGTTAGCACGGGAAGTATAAGGATGAATTTTGTTTCTGTTTCTATTGCAAGATGCAAAATTAACTATTAAATATTTGAGACAAACCAAAAGAAAATGATATTCATTTTCGACTGGCATTACAAATTCAAATGTGTCAAAGTATCGATGAGGTTCTTAGTCTGCAATTTAGCTTCTGAAATTTCATTTAGTTATTTTTCAGCCACAAATTCATGTTTAAATACAGAGTAAGAACACAGTTTTGGTGTGTTAATGATGCATGTATACCACGACTGTGTAAAATTATCTTGTATTCGCTGTCTAATTTGTGTCAAATTTATTACGTCAGTACTTTAGTTCAGCCACAAATCAGGATATTCCGCATTATAAAACATTCTTTTGAATAATTTTAGTAAATAAAGGGATATTATTTCATATAAATATTAAAAAAGATTTCTGCAATTAGCATATCATTGCAGGGGATTTCCCCATTGATTTTTGATAATAAAAACATTTCTTATCTCTATCTCTGTGATATCATGATAGAGAAAATCATCATGTTCATAGGGATTTATCAAAGTTTTGTTCTCTGATCGGTGAACCAAAAAGAGTACTAAAATGACCTTGCAAGTCGCTTGCAGTTAGATTGTTTGATGCTTGAGTATTTTTCTTTTATTGTTTTTTAATCACTTTCCGAAATTGTTTTGGTTCTGATTTAGCCATGCTTGCTATCTTATAGCGTATAGCCTTTTGTGCTTAAGTTTTGTTTTATTATTTTGCCTCATCTTAGTTCCGGCTTAATTGCGCATCAAATTGTTTCGGGCTTAAGTAAATTCTTTCCTTAATAAGCGACATTAATCGTTTAACCATACTGCTTTTTTATGCCTATTGTTCTTACTCTTATATTCATTATTATTATATTTACCCAATACGTTTAAGGCACATGTTTTATTGTTTAAGTGAAAAAATTCATTGAGTCATCAATACCTGTATTCAACACATTTTCACATATCTCTACTATGCGAGCGTAGAAAATTAATGAATGATTCACGCTTATTTTCGAAACACCACGTGACTCGTGGTTGTTTTGCAAACAATTGCCTTTTAAAACAATTTTGATAGGTGAATGATCCGAAAATTGATTTGCATGTAGAATTTCAAAATCTGATATTTGAGGGATATATTTGATTAATGATAAGATAATCTACCAAACTATTTCAATTTAAAATCTGAAATGTAAATTCTCCTATAGATTTATCTCTAGGTAATCTGTCATTAACAATTGGTAAATTTGAAGCTTTACACAATTCTATCAATCTAGTACCATGATTATCTAAGGTATTTTCTTTACTTGTTCTATTAAGGGATAGAGGTAAAAATTGTTCAAAATTTCCATTGTCAATATAATTAATGAATCAATCTATAGCTTGTTCTACCAGATCAAAAAAATCTATATCAAACTGCTTTAATATATTTGAATTCCTAGGTGGCAAGTAAACATTACATATATAAAGATCATCATCAACTGACAGTAAACTTTTACCTATTTTCAGCCCAATATTGACATTACTTCGTTTTTTTTAAATTTTCAGCTTATCTTTCAGAAGTTTTATTTTTATAATAAATGGATATTCCTCCACTATTACGACCCTTGGTGGTGTTTCTACATTTAGATCCATACAAGTGCTCACTAAATTAATAGAATGTATTTCGCATAGGTATGTCTCTGATAGAATTATAATAAATTATGGTAATTAGATATAATGTCTATATCACTCTTGATCACTTATCTTTTTGCAAAGTCTATTAATATTCAAGAAAATTAGAAGACAATACAACATATATACATATAATCCAACCCAACGAATTGAGAAATGCATTATTCAAATTACCCAACGTTTCATCGTAAAATTGAGTACTAATAACAATCCGGTTTGTCACGGTTCGTGAATGAGTTTTTGTTTGACGGTATTGATTGTTAAGATCAATTAAAGCGAGATTTTCTACGTTACCAGTTACCTTTTTCCCTTGTAATACGTTTTCGTATGCGGCTTTTATCCTGCCAACCTTATATACTTTTAGATTTAAGATTTCCCATTCTCAATCATATTTGAATCGACAGTATGAACAATTTTTTATCCCTTTTACGCTTACCAGACGTTTTATTTTAAACAGAGTAAGCACTAGGCTGTGTAAGCTGATGATATAATACGTACACATATATCCATGTTACATATATTTGTTATTTGATAACTGGCTCGTGCTTTGTTTTAATAAAGTGACACAATTCCCATCCAACGGTATACAGTGAGTGACCAGATGAAAGACAAAATAAGTTTTCATTTCACCTAAATGTAGCATTGAGTGGGAAATGAGAATAACGAAAAATGAAGATACGGCTGAACGTTCACTTCAAAATAATAATAATGTACACCTTTTTTTCGAAATATATTGAGGTACAAATAAAATACAATCAAAATAGATGCAATGTTTTTATTCAAAGGTTTATATTTTTTAATTTTTTATCAATCATATTTTTGAAACTCCTTTAAAACAAATACCTTAACGGAATGTGCAGATACAATTCGTGACAGAGTTAAATCAATATCAGCTTGAACATACCTTGTATACTTCATTCCGATAACATATATACTATACTACATGTTTTATATATTTACTCATGACATACGAAAGGATTTCACTTATCATCCATGAGAAATGACGTCATATTGAGTAAATGTTATTTACGTGAACATCTAAAAGAATTTACTTCCTGGCATGTGCCCTTCGAATAACATAACAAAAATCTTATTATAGTTGCTAGAGTGTAAATAAGCAGTATTTTTACGTGTTTTATTATTTACTTAATGTCTGAATGAGAAACATTTGACCGTTACTGCTGCTCACGTGCTTGCTCTCGTGAATCTAATTGAATTTCTCATCCTTACTACGCACATATTAATTAACCCTTGATAAGAAAATATTAATTTCGATAAGTTTGAAAAAAAAACATATGACGATTTATTTGCATTTATCTACAAAATTCAGTCAAAATTACAAGTATACATACTTTTGTGAATATATTGAAAAAAAAACAACAACTAAAAATGCACAACAAAAGTATCTAATGATCATGATTAATAATTTCATCAAGTAGAATGATTGTCATAACAGACAATGCTTGTCAAACTAGGCATAAATGAGATACAAAATCAATCTTAAACAAAGATATTTCTGTAAGATTAAGGCAATTATACTTGCATCATTTTCATCAGGCATTAAGTTAACACATGCACATTTGTGTCACAGAGTACAAAATCATAAAATTAATCACTGAAAAGTTCCAAAAAGAACACGGTTAAAATTGGTGTTAATATTAATGGAAGAACTATTATTCACATTTATTTCTTGCTGTCTCAGAATCCATGTACAACGTTACTCTTTGATATTTTATTGTTAAATGTTTTCCAGCATTAGCACCATGATTTTTGCACTATTTGAGGAATATTAACAAAGATTATTAAATTTGTATACGGTTGACATCTATTAAAAGGAAACATTGTTATAAAGTTCATCTCAGCAAATCGTCTAACACCTATCAACATAACTATATCTATTTCAATATTTAGCAAGTGTTTTAAGATAGCAGAAGTATCATTATAATAAAGCCGATGCTACAATTTTTTTTATCAAATCACGTGCATTTTCTTCAAATAAAATCTATGTCTGTAGCCGACGTATGCCATGAATGAAACTTTCTTATCAAATTTGTTCCTGATTTTACTTTTTTGGTATTTCACATAGAGAGGGCCATCTACTGTTACAGGGTAAGTTAAACCATTTGAGGTTTTCTAATGCCAGGCACAATTTTGAATTCTCTGATCTTGGATAGCCGGGATACCATTTAAAGTATCCGCTATTTATTCCATATGTATATTCCCACAGAGACGTTTTACTTTTGCGTCGGCCTCCAATGATAATATCAATTACAGAAAAACCACTCAACACAGTCTTAACATCAGCATACTTCAAGTCTGAGTTGATGTTGATCAAATGTCCCCCATCTTCATTGCATTCAGCTTCTGCATCATCGTGAGTTTTACTTGTCACTTGAAGTTTTATACAAAACCCATTCGAAGTGAAATTATAGGTCTTTGGACACATTAATTGGTTATCCCTACCTTCACACAAGCCGAAGTCTGTCTCCACCTCTGACATTTTGCCATTTTCACTTGTTTCACGAATGCACTCTCTACTTCGATTTCGAATTCCAAATTGATTTAAAATTTTCACGCCACATTCAGTCCATTTTGTCCATCCAGAGCATTGATGAAGATTTTTCATCGCCATTCCTATGAAAGTAAGCATGGGTCTGTTCAAGCGTTTACCCATCTGTATCAACGTTTTGCTACTTATACTTTCTCCATGAATACCTGAAGTTCCATCGCTTGCGTCACATCGTATGATAATATTCACCAAAATTAGCATCAAGATCAAGCTCATTAGACTCGTGCCCGTATTACAAAACCACATTTTTTATCGTTACAATATTGTAATGCTTATAACGTTAATGCTCAAAGTATGTCGCCTAAATACAATTATGACTTTTCAAGTCAATATTTTCTATGGATATAAAAGAAGAATTCCTTGAACAAGATTAAATACATTTTCAATATGGGGGAGTCAAAAAGTGTTGGATTTCTATTGGTCTCATTCGGTATTTGCACAGCCGAAACCTTATGCAAATTTTCAAATAGAGATGTATATTACTAACCATGTATAACTGACCTATACAAAAGGAGGCACTTAACACTCATCGATGTTTCATAACTTTACGTTATAACCATTTAGTGAAAATATACCTTTCATTTATTTTTCTTGCCTTTCTCTATTAGTTTAACAAAACATTTTGTCAATGATATGATTTTTTAACTTAAACTCTATATTACTGACAATTGTTGATTTAAACTCCTAGAAAAATTAACCTTTTTGAAACTGATACATGCATTACATGTTATACAATGTACATAATTTATATGTTTGTCCTACATAACACTTCTTATTATCAATTTCATTCATTCAATTTTTCATGTATATGTGCAAGAAACAGAATAATTAATTCTAAAGTGTTGTTTTTGTTTGTTGTCTCGTCGTTATTTTTCGTACTTGAGTGCTTGAGTACATTTTGAAAAAAAAAATTCTAAAATTATTTTTTAACATTATCGGCATCAAACACATTCAATTTTATACTTTTCAGCTTTCTCATCAAACATTTTCTAAATAAAACACTGTTATTTTTTTTTTAAAAATACACGGGTAAAGACTTTTGTTTTCTTTAGATTTTGTTACATGGATCTTATATTGCAATATCAGACCAATAGTTTTTCAACAATTTGTTGATCAACCCTCAGTTTGAAGCACAGCCTGTTTACTTCAATATTTCTGAGAATTAGCATATGCTTCTAATTAGATGTTTGAAACGAGAAAAAAGTGCAGTGAAAAGGAAGTTTAATCTGGTATTCATAACTCGTATAATTGCTTCTACTGGGAATTTTGATATTTTCCTATGTATCTGTTTTTTACGCAAAAAAACGTGTATATTTACATTGCACACGAACGCATATAATGCTCGTCTGCACTTTGCTTTTAAAAAACTCTGCCAAATAAAAAAAATAAAGTCGATGTTGCACTGATCAATATAGACAACATATTATACAAGAGGTTTAACAAAGCTGTGTAATAATATATTAATTGATAGAAATGTCTAATCCAGTCCATATATTTCTTTATTGGATAGAAATTGCCTTTCATACTTCCTGTCAATTAATATATTTTTAGCTCTGAGACAAAAACCAAAACAACAAGAACAACAAAAAAAAACAAAAAAAAAACAAGAAAAACAAGAAAAAAATATAAAAAAAATTAAAGAACGCAAAAACAAACGAAACAAAAAAATGGCTAAAATAATTTTAAACTTATTATTCCTAGTATACTATTTAAATAAACCCTCCTTTCACCTCCCCCCCCCCCGGGAAAAAGATATGATCTTGGTCGTTTTATATCTATATTTCAACAAGATCATTCCATGTTTTTTTGCAGTTATTACCTACTTTTTTAGATAAACACTTTATTAACACTTTATTAACATAAAAACTAAAATAAAAAGAATAAGGCTTTGTCGTAGCATGTATAAAGTTGATAAAAACTTTTATCTTGAAACTTTTCTCTTAAAAATTCATCTAAATTCCCCTGGGAGGTAGCTTTGCAAATGTCTATCATTACATTACCATACAAATTACTTCCCTTGTCTATCAGGTGCGTATCAATACAACAATAATCTGAGTCGATGTGACACAACTTGATCAGGTGATACGTAGTTATGTTTGCAGGATGTATTTACATTACAATTATGAAAAAAATGTCTTTAATTCCTTTTACACTAACCATGCGTTTGTTATTTTAAACAGTTCTTTTGTTTTTTGTTTATTTGTTTTAATTTTACACCTTTTTAACAGTATTTCAGTCATATAGGCGGGCAGTTCTAAATTACCATACTAGACTTTGCAAGCTGATAATATAATACGCACACGTATATCCATGTAACATATACTTGTTATTTAACAACTTGCTCGAGCTTTTTTTAATTAATGTGCCCTTCCAGCGGTATACATTGACAATCGCAACTTTTCGGCCTTTTCCGTCAGTCTTCACATTAGCCATAATCTCTAGAAATCACATAGTCTCTACTTCCGCCGAAGTTTTGCCATTATCTGATGTTTCAAAAAAGCACTTTCTACTACGATGTCTTATTCTTTTTTATGTCAAATTTAGTACATTGTCATGAGCCCATACAAAACATGTGATTTTTATTATTGCCATTCCAATTTAAGTCAGCAAAGGTTTTTGCCATTTGTATCAAAGTTTTGTCACTTAAACACCCCCAAAGATATCTGCAGTCGCATTGCCTGTATCACAAGTTACTTTTTATTCATTAAAATAAGTATCAAAGTCAAGCTAATTTAAAACATGTCTCAATTAGGAAACCCACATTTTATATTGTCTTTTATCTTTATAACTTAATATTAATACAATAAAATTCTACTAATGTTTAATTATTTACGCACGTAAATGGTACTTTTGAATCCCGATATTCTACAAATTGACTTTATTTTATAGCCTCTACAAATTGACTTTATTTTATAGCCTGCCGTTGAAGGGGATATTGAAATGACGATGTCCGTCTATGTCTGAAGCCATAAACGGTTTGTGCTTTTTTTCCTGGATAGAGAGGAAAACACCACATGGTTTCATAAAGATCTACAAGGTGATGCTTTTTAAAAACTATTGCAACGCTTTTCACTCACATCGGGCTATGAATTGCAAACAGCAGAACTTATCTTCAATTTAATTCTAAGCATGAAATTTCTTTATTATCATTTGCAGATTTTTTTCATTTTAAGTGTTTTATTTGATCAATAAAAGAATTTCAAATTTTATGATTTTAGGCTCATTGACCTCAGTGAGCAATTTAACAATCTGGAATTGGATTTCTGAGTAATGTTCCTTTGAAATTTAAAATAAGCATTTTCAAAAATGAAAAACCTCATGCTTAGGCAGATGTTTTATATGTTTTATTGTTATGCCATTAAGCATGAATGTATATTGTAATAATAACATGATGCTTATCAAGTTTTGAAGGAAAACTTCAGCCATTGTTTTAAATTTAGCCATTAACGAATTAAAATTACCCATCTAGGAAGCATATATCTCAGTCGAGAGCTACATTTTAAGTATATGATATGACTACAACAAAGTAACCTAACCTTTTATAAGGTCTACAATTTGTTATACACAAATTAGTATTTTTTTTTTGAAAATAGACTGTATTGTTTTTTTTGAAAATAGACTCTGATGTTTTTAAAGATTATATTTTTATTTGATTTATGCATGTCTGTCTGCCAAAAAAGTTTATCTTTACATTACCCTTAATTTTAGTAGGATTCAATGAATATGATCATTTGTGCATAAATGTGCATGATTTTACTTTACTTGAATCCTGATATTGTTATTCCTAAAGTTAATTACTTAAAATGACTGACACAAAAATTTTCAATATCAATTATATCATTATGTCATTTTATTACAGAAGAATGTAAATTTGCTTGACACTTGGCCATGCATGATTATGAGTAAAGATATCATATTAATATTCATTCCTATTCTAATAAACCTGATGTTTAGAAGTACCACCAAGTGAATAGTATCATAATGCGGTTATATCAAATGGTTTAAGTTTTTTTGGGAGAGTGTATAAAATACAAAATAAAGTGTTTGTACATACATTTTATATAATTTTACGCAAAGGCCGTTTCCATGGAACCCTTTACCGTTAAACATGTTTTAAGACATTACTTGCTTGGCCTCACTTCTTGAACAATTAATAGTAAAACCAGATTATTTGATTTTTTTTTGCAAATGAACACATGCATTTGAATATTTCTGTTTACTACGGTAAAGTAATATACAGTTATAACAGGCTTTACATAAGTTGTCATATTTTCCCACGAACCTATTTCTCATGAAATACCTGCAGCAAGGAGATTAATTCAAATTTGTACCACATGTGTAGTTACATTAAGTTTAAATTCTTATTCTCCACTTCCCGTGAACATGGCATAATATACTGACTGGAAATATAGTTAAATTAAGATTTCGTTACAGCTGCTTTCCTCCCAAACAATATCTACATTTTCAAAAATCAAACTGATGAAAACAATTGATAATCATTATGCCCGTTATGATTTGCAACCGACTTTGTTAACTCTATAAAATTCCGAAATAATGTGCATAACTCTTTAACAGACTGACCAATGGCTATTTATGCATAGTTTGATACATTTTAGGCAAACTTTATGTGAATTGTTAGTGTTTGAAATGGTTTTAGTTTTTTTGACTTCTTAGAACCTGCTCCTCACAGATGTTGATTTAAATTCATCAAGGGAATTACAGCATATTTGATTAGTTTTAATTGACATATGTGAAGTAAAAACGGTGGGAGACAGAGTTTTAAAGTTATCAAAAATTCGTAGCTTACGGTGTTTTGATAGTTGTAAAGATTCCAAAGCACAGTGAATGTCTTTACATGAGGTAAACTGACAGTGTTGTGCTGCGTTAATATGAGAACATCACAACATCTATACATCTTATTCAACACAACAAATAAAGCAATTCATAATGTTAAGTACTCAACATTACACATAACATCGTATAATTGAGTACCAATGTCCTAACGGAAATTGTATAACAAAACCGGCTTGTCACGGTTTGTAAGTTTTTTGTTTGTCGGGTATTGATGGTGGAAATCAGTTCTTGCAAGATTTTCTACGTGCATGGCAGTTTTAAAATTCAAATTTAAGAATGCATATATTATACTTTTCAGATATGAATGTTGTGATATCAGAGTAAGAATTAGACACTATATCGGTTTTTTTATTCATATAGAGGTTTAAGGGCAATCATGGCCTTCTTGCCTTTGATAATTGAGCGAAATTGGAATAAATAGCAGAAAATTTGTCCAGTCTCTCTATGGTGAGTCATGTACAGTATTTTCCATTTAT